AAAAGTAAAATAATTTAAATTTTTACATATAAATATTTCTAATTTTGGTTTATATATATAAAAATAATTTTTTAATTATATTATTAAGCGAGGCGGGGGCGGGGACGGGGCGGGTATTAACATCCCTGTCCCCGCCCCTGCCCCCGATTTTATCAACCGGGGAAAATCCGAACCCGATAAACACAGGTTTTCCCTGTCCAAATCGGGGCGGGTTCGGGCTGGTACTCACGGGGCGGGTTAGATTGCCATGCCGACTAGATGAGGTCAGCTAGATGGATCACAATTTCCTTTAATGTCTTGGTCAAAGATCAACTTTCAAGGATATTATTCTCCGTGAACTACCTCTTAACAATTTTCTTCAATGTATTTCACTAGGCTTATTTGGAGATGAATGCCTTGTATCAATCCTACTTGTCCTGAGCTTGTAGGTCACAAGGTTAATTAATGTAACCATTCTGGTAGAGTGTTATCTGACTAGGGTTGGGCCACCCAAGCCCAAGCCCCAAGGGCAAAGCCAAACTGGCAAATAGTTCTAAATGACTTACAAGTCTCCTTTTTCATCAGTTCATGGCATAAGTTAATATCTAAAGATGCTTTGGTTTGGTATGTCAAATTTGTGACATATCAATTTTCTCTTCAATTGATTTTTTTTTTCTTAGATAGATGCATAGTTAAAATTTCAAAACAAGAGTAGATGTATTATAAAATTTCAAAAACGAGTATATTTATAAATTGCTAAAGGGCTTGTAGAAATATTTAAAATCTATAGTTATGTTTAATGTAAGAAGCTTTGTATTCATTGAATAAAATCTTTCTATTAATATGACAACTTATAAATATATCAGCAAATAAAAATGCTCTACTGTTAGGTTGCTTTTTTCTTAGATGAAAATACTTTATCTTAGATTCCCTGACCAGTTATAAAAAGTTAACCATAACCATAATTAACCGATTTTATAATAAATGTTTAATTAAATTAAAAAAGTTATAAAAATTAATCATATATGATAAGCGGATATTATAACCATAACCATAATTTAGTAAGTTTGATGCTTGATCTGATTTAGTAATTCTATCTGTTAGTATTATTTCACTGTATTTATGTATGAAAAAATGAATACAAGAGCAGAAGCTCCCATTTCCCTAAGGTCAGAGATCGCTCTCTCTGGCCCCAACAATTTTGTTACAATCTTGCATACCCCCTTCCCCTCCTTTCTTTTCCTATTTAACAGCACTCCTGTTTTCTCTATCCATAACTAACTCACCCCCTTCCCATCTCAGATCCTGCCTAAAACAAAGTTAAGGGCCCTGATTGGTTTGGTGTATGGGTATAAACTAAAAGGGGTTTAGGGGTCTTGGGGCCCACAGATATTGGATACCTATCAGATGCTCTTGTGATAACCAATAGGTGTTTATATTGTCCCTGCAGCATCCTGGAAACATTGCAGTTGATGATGTCAATGGTGGAAGATTGATCTTCTATGATTTTGGAATGATGGGGAGGTATGTTATTTGTCTTCTATGGCTATTTCAAATATGAATTCACCAGCTGCACATACTTTAAGCTTTGTGAGATGGTTTTCTTTTACAACCATGTTTGGTATTGCACCTTACAGTATCAGTCCAAACATTCGAGAAGGTTTGCTTGAAGCATTTTATGGAGTTTATGAGAAAAACCCAGACAAGGTAGACCCTTTACATGAATGGTGTTGAATATTAATATGAAACTGTACCATAATATCACATTCTTAACTCTTGAATACTTACTAAATGAAGCTTGAGTTCTGGTATTAGGTCCTACAAGCAATGATTCAAATGGGAGTTCTTGTCCCCACTGGAGATATGACTGCAGTTAGAAGAACAGCACAATTCTTCCTTAACAGGTATTTCAATATAGTGGGAGTAACGGTGATATTTCAACGAGTTATTATTATATGGAAAAGTACAAGGGCTGTAACTCGTAAATTGTTTATTGCAATACCCATTACAATGCAGAAACCACTTAAAAGTGTCCTAATATAAAGAACTAAGTCAAAACATTTCATTTTGAAAAATGACAGGTTTTGCAGATTCAATATATTTCTTTAGTGAACCACTAGGGTTGGCCTAATGGTAGGGGGTTGGAATAGTAATAGTTTGTATAGAGTCTTAGGTTTGAACCCTGGTACCATCATTGTAATTCCAATGGATGAGAAAAAAGATATATTTCTTTAGATAGTAGGTATTTGTTTGATTTGTTTCATTTATACCTGTCATGTGCATTGCTTGTCGAATGGGGTTTGTGCAAAAGCACACTTGTTTCCTGATTTGTTATGATGTTAGAAATATAATATCTATCTGAGCTTTTTTAGTCCACATTTCTGATCAGTTTTGGATTTGTTAGGGTTTTTTTTTGTTGGTCACTAATCTTGTTTGGGACATTAGAGTAATTAGAGGGGGTTGGTTAGATAAGTAAATAAGAGGATGTTTGGGAAATGGCTCTATTCTGTTCTGTTATTGTTTGGGAAACTGCACGTTAGTGCCTCTAATGTAGAAGTGGAAACCCTTGGAAGGAGAGTCTTGACCTTAAGTTCTTTGTTTGTAATTCAATAAACACTGATAAAATAATCTTTCCTTTTCTTTCTCTTTGTTTTCTGTTTATTTCTCTCTCCCCGAAACCTCAACCAATTTCTGGATTCTAACAATCTTTAATTCAAGAACAACTTAGGGTACTGAATAGTTATGTTTGAAACATACTGAAATCTCTGACCTTGAATTAATTTTATCTTCTACAGTTTTGAAGAGCGCCTGGCTGCTCAAAGGCGAGAGAGAGAGGAAGCAACAACTGAACTTGGATTTAAAAAACCATTAAGCAAGGAGGAAAAAATAAAGAAGAAGAAACAACGCCTGGCTGCTATTGGTAATGCACCTGGTGTAACTGAATGCATATTTAAGTTTAGGCTATGTAAATGTGTGCTTGACAAGTATTATTGTTGATTTGTCTGCCATATGTGAAGATAGAAAATGGGTGTTTTGGGAAGAATATTAAAATGCAAGTCATTTCCTACCCAGCTGCAATATTTTATGTCATTAAAATTTTATGGATGTTGGCTCAATTGTTAAATTGTATGCACTATGCAGTAGCATACAAAAAGGTGAAAATTGAAAAGTCATGTGTAGTCTGTGTGTGTGTATATATAAAGGGATTTACTCCAAGAGTAACTCTTAGACCTGGTAGTTGGTAGAGTTATTTCACTCAATAATTCATGGTCTACATTGAATTTCAATAATTTGACAATTAAATTAAAAGTTTAGATCAAGTTTACAATTTTTTACAAAATTTGAAAACTATTTGATTCATAAAAACATATACGTTAAATTGAATGTATATAACGAAGTATCAAATAATTTTCAAATTTTGTAAATTTGATCTATTCATTAAGAATTTTTAATTTAATGGTTAAATCATTGAAATTCAATATAAACTATGAGTTATTGAGTAGAGTAATTCTACTAAAAGTTACTATTGGAATAAGTGGATCTCTCTCTTTTATATATATATATATATATATATAAATATTGTTTTAACTTTTGCTTGGTTTTACCTGATTGGTTGAAGTGATTTTGTTTGTGAAGTTTGGCATCATTTGCCTCAACTATAAGAATTATGTCTTGCATCCAAACATCCAGTACTTAAACTTATTGAATATTATTTTCCACTAGTTTTATAATAGTATGCAACCCATGGACTTATTGTTTGTTTGCTTTGAAAAAGGGATGTATGATGATACCCAGCTGTCTTGCTTTTAACAGGTGAAGATTTATTATCTATTGCTGGTGACCAGCCCTTCCGATTTCCTGCTACATTCACATTTGTTGTTAGAGCCTTCTCAGGTAAATGTAAATAAGTTTAATGCATAAATTAGCATATCTTATGCATGTGGTTGTAAGACAAATCAATTTTGTCTCTGCAGTGTTGGATGGCATTGGAAAGGGGCTCGACCCACGTTTTGACATTACCGAGATTGCCAAACCGTAAATATTGTCTTCATAATTTTCAATTTTTGAGTTATTTTCAATTATTCATGTTAAATTTATATGTTTTACATCTCTAACACAACTAGCTTTCCTGGCCTTGTAGTTATGCCTTGGAGTTGCTAAGGTTTCGTGAAGCTGGGGTTGAAGTTGTCCTAAAGGTAGTCACAATTCACAAACATGTTCTACTGTAATTCTGTCAATATTATGATTTCTTCCTCTCATATCTCTCTCGTGACATACAGGACTTCAGGAAGAGATGGGATAGACAATCTCAAGCATTTTACAACTTATTCAGACAGGCTGATAGGGTTGATAAGCTTGCTGATATTATCCAAAGACTGGTATTTCCCTGATTTTCAGATATAGTTCAAGTTATTTATTTGATTCATACCTGTTGTTTGTTTTGAACTTTTGGTATTGTAGATCACTGCATAGTATACTTAATTTTTCCACAGGAGCAAGGTGATCTAAAGCTCCGAGTTCGAACATTGGAATCTGAAAGGGCATTCCAACGTGTTGCTGCAGTCCAGAAGACTATAGGGAATGTGAGTCAAGCTGACATTGTGACGTATTTAAATTATAAAGTTTACTTGTTACATCAATTTGGTTAAAGTTTGTTCTACTGCCTTTAAAACATGTAGTTGTCATTCTTTGTGGGTTTGCTTGGGCCTCAAATTTATTATCTACTGTAAGACGCTCTAGGCTCAGTTGGCTGTTGTATGGTCACTCTTGCACAGTCGTCTTATGGAAATGAGAATGGGTATTTTCATGTGGTGTCAATACAGTACTATATATCAATAATGTATTAAATAAACTTATATGTGTGCCTGTATATGAATATAGCACTCATTTATCAGTTTTTTTTTTTATATATATTTTTTTACTTTTTGTGTCTACTTTTCTGATTGCCCATGCATCCATATATGTTCTATATTGCAAAGATGTGTCTGTATGATGTCCACCTTTTAACATACTTGTAATCAAAATGACAAAATCTTAATATTTCTATTTCTCCCATGGATTTTAAACGAGTGATGGGTTTGTGTAATTTGTTGTTGACTGTTGATACAATTTCATGCTTTTATGCATGGAACTATTGCAAGCCTTGAATGTTTTTTGAATCCTTGTTCTCATTAATGGATAATATTATTATAGGAGTGGCTTGGAAAACTTGTTGGGATGATATTGGGTCTGTTTGCTTCCTGTTTTAAAACCTCTTTTCTCTTTCTAAAATTAGAAAAATAAATAATAAAAATCTTGTTTGACAAGAGTAATAAAAAACCAGAACGTCTCTAGGTTGATTTGGTTTTCTACTTTCAGTTTCCTATTACTCATGTTCTTCTTTTCATCTTCACACCTTCCTCCCTGGTTGTACTATCTAAAAATCAATATTTAAAAGCTGTTTTATAATTATTTTTTAAAAAATTCAAAAACAAAAACACAATCAAACACACCCTTGTATTTATGATACCTTTTTGTCAACTAACAGGCAGTAGCTGCTGGGAGCCTAATAAATCTTGCAACAGTTTTGTATCTCAATTCAATTCGTGTAAGTTGTTCCCACTTCCCATCCTGCATCTCTTTTTTACTGGCAATGATTATAAAGTCAATTGATTATCTGAATGATGTAATTCCTCATTCCCGGGTTATCTTTTTCAGGTGCCTGCCATTGCTGCTTATATCTTTTGTGTAATCTTTGGTTTTCAAGTGCTCTTGGGCATTGTAAAGGTCAAGAAGCTAGATGAACGGGAACGATTGATAACAGGGACTGCATAGGCCACTACATGGTGAATTTTGCTTTACTTTTATAAAAATGTTCTACACTTGATATGTTCAAATTATTATGTCATGCAAGAATGTTTATAAGATGATGAAAATGATTATTTAGTAATTTTCTGCCACGAAAGTTATTTCCCCAGTTTTTGACACTAAGCATGCATGTTGTAATATTTTAGAGCTGAGAAAATGTCACATGATGGCATCACCCGAGTATTATTGTATCAAGTATAGCACCTTCCAACCGGGCTTAGTCTTTTGCTAATATGATCAATTTCTTGTGTGTACTCTTCTGGTACTTATCAAAATAGAACAACAAAGGAAAGGAAGCAACTGGTAATACTAGTAACAGTTTTACCCATTCCTCTATACTTCTCTTTTTCCTTTTTTCAATGTTTTAGTGTCATGAGAGCTTTTGACTTAATTGTTATCATAGAATACATGTTCTCTATGCCATCCTGGAGGGAAATAAAATGATCTTTATGCAAGTGAATGTTGGACATAATTAAACGACTCTTACAAATTCAAATTCTAATGTATATCCCTGTTAATTTTTTGTCTAGGTATATGGATGTGGTTCTGTCCATTCCAGTGTCTGTAGCATAGTACATTAGGAGGCTTTTGGTATGTTGTTGTACTTTCTCGGTTTCTCCTTGGTGTGTAAGATACTGGTCATCTCAAACATAAGCTAACTTGAGAAACCTTGTGTTTGTTTGGTATGATAATTTAATATAATTTACCCTACCATGTGAAAATCCTTGCGTTCCTAGTATCATATATTTTCATGTCCTATGATGCTTGCATACCTATTTGGTATGCAAGCATCCCAGCTAGTGACAATCTTACTTTCTAGCATGAAAGTACTGAAGTGTAGAGTTAGTTATATTATATATATAACTCAGATGCAAGTATAGGGTGTTAAGGATACTTGAGGTGTAGATGGTTTGGTATTTAAAAGTAATACTTTACTGTGCTTGTAGGTCTTTGTGATGTCCTATATTTATTCGTTTTGCTTGGGCTTATTTCAGATTTAAGACCGAGAAATAGTACATGTTAAGGTCATGGTTACAAGTCAACCTCCAGAGCATGAAAAGGAGTATATGACCTTGGGAGCTGATAGAAAGCAATACCCAACATTAAGGAAATCTACATCAAGTACAAAAATTCCAATTAGCAAATGATGGGGGCTTTTTGTATTCACCTGTTCCTGTTATTAAGAAGATTGTGCTCTGCGATGGCCAATTGGCATGGAGCCACATTTTTGTCACACCCTCCCCCTCATAAAATAAATATATTCAAGTCAATGCCGCATAGTAACTTGTATAGGCATGATGTAGAGTTTGTATATTAACAAATACATTCCACGCTTGTATTGAACTGAATTGCTGTCAAAATTCTAGCTAGTTTTTTCTGACTATGTAACACGACTCTTGTAATTACTACTATATGGTATGATGCAGCTTCCAACAAAAATTTGAAGGGGAAGCTTTGCCCGAAATTGACTTCCATTGATTTGTTCAATAAATAAGTTGGTATGTGTCATCGATGTGCGTGTTGGATTTAAATTGCACAGATCAAACGACAGGTTTTTCTAGGTGGTTATGCAAGTAATACGAGTTTCATATCCTGAACGCCTTACTGCATGATCATGGTTGTGCGCAGAGTGTATTGAATTCACGTTGTCTGTTTCACAGCCTCCAATGTCTTTATTTTCTGCTGTTTGCTATTTTGTCACTCTGGTTGTCCATTGGAAGAAATTAATTATTCTCTTTTGTCTAGACTAGTGTTTCATCTAGGCCCTTCTCCGAAGTATCAATATGTTAACATATACATAATTAACGTCGCATATGATGTGAGGACCTAATACGCCAAGAATAGCAATAAAAGTGATAAGGATGGAGCGGAATATGTTAAGGGAATCCCATATGGTAGATGGCTTGCAGTCTTCGTGAAGGACGGCAATTTATTATGGTACCCACATGGGCATGTTCTGTTATCTCCATGTGTCTCTCTCCAAACGAGAATTTTCGATCTCGAAATAAACTCATTTGACTTTGGTCTCTGGAACTTGGGTAATTGGGCTGTACTAAGGGTGGTCTATTATTCTCCTTAAACACCATTTTCAAATTAAGATTCTCAAAATGACAGTGGTTTTGTTTCTGTAAACAGAACCCAAGTGAGAAGGCGTGCGTCGTATTACTATAAATCAAATAAATGTCAACTTCAACAAGTATGTCGGCAACTGATTAAGATAAATTATTTTTCTTGTCATATTCACTGAAAATGTGTTGTACCTCATGGATCAAGAAGACAAGCAATAAACAGTCAAAGGGACAAATTCATAACTTTCAAGATGATCAAAAATTCATAATGCATGTATGAAGAAGAGGGAAACAAAAAGAAAAAAGAAAAAGAGAGGACAGAGATAGTAACAAATAAAAGAAAATAAGTGCGGGGCTAGTTGGAATACGATCCTTGTAGTGATTTTATGATCATCTTGTGCATGTTACATTTTAAAAAAATAAAATAGAATAGAACGTTGAGTTCCTATTACACAAAATTGTCCTTCGTCATTCTCACATGTTTTTGCATAGAGTCAACGAAGTACCATAATTTCGAGGAAGTTTTGGACAAACAAAAAACGTTCCGTACGCTACACTTGAATAAACATTATATAGAAATATGATAAGTAGTCTGAAAAAGACATTTTTCTTTACATAGTTTTTGCAATTGATGGATAGCGGATAGCATAATTTAATTGCACTGAAATAAGCTAATAGATATATCTATTATAATTACGAACATTGCTAGATTTAGACAAAGCATGAACACTAACAACTTACAACTACAACACACCATCCAGGAAAGAAATTAATGAGGAATGACTTCATAATAATACAAACAAGGAAGCAAATTGTGTGATCTAAGGCAAAGAGTTGGTGTAGATGTAATCCTCATTCTCCAAAACTGTGTCTTCCAACCCACCATTTCCTTCCTTGCACTCAACACCTTGCTTTTCACAGCCACCTCTTCTCTGCATAATGTAATAACCCCAGTTACACGCTGTTCCAACTCGTTTCTTATTTTGAGGATCAAAGCACGAGCTTAACTACATTCAGAAATTAAAAATACCCAAATAGAAATATCAAGAGACAGAGAGGGAGGCTCAAAATTCAAAACTCACGACAGTGGTAGCACTCTTCGAACCCACAACAAATCTTTCGTTGGTAACTACTTCCCCTTGAACAACAACAGTGAAGATGAAAGCCAGGAAGAGAAGCAATGCTGGTTTGGAGAGTCTCATCTTATTAAAAACTTTTGGAACCTTTAAGGGGTACTTAAAAGTATGATTGTGAATGATGTTCAATTCACCAAGCAAATTATAAACGACTAGCTAGCTCCGATCACCATGTACAGATACTTAAAAATTAGCCAACTATCTGTATTGTGTTGAGCCCACATCGAATGCCGCACTATTAGTATTATATAGCTGCCTTAATAGTGTATTTGGACTAAGAATTTTACAAATTCAAGAAATTTTAAATTCTTGGTATTTAAATTATTTTAATTTTAATTTCTACCATTCTTAAAATATTCTGTTTGGATAAATTAATTTAAATTTCTTAAATTTTAAATTATTAGGTTAGATATGATAATTTGATTTCACCATGATAAAATTAATTTTAAAAATATATTTATATGTTGAAATTTTTAAATTAAATTTTATAAAGATAAATATTAGCTAATTTTTAAATATTTAATCATTTTAAAAATTAATATTAAATAATATTTAATAATTTTAAATATATTTTTGAATATTCAATAATTAAAAACATGAAGAGATAAGAGATAAGATAAAATATATAAGTGAAATAAGAAGAAAAAAATATGAGGAATTTCAAATTCTTACTCTTTTGGGAGAATTTGAAATTTTACTATTTCAAGGAACTTCATAAATGTTTGAATTTCAAATTCTTTAGAAACTTTTCATCCAAATAGGTATGTCACCTCAAAGAATTTGAAATTCTACAAATAAATGAATTACTCCATTTAAATTCCCCACCCAAACACACTATAAGGTTTGATTATCATATATTTAAATCTTATAATCAAGGGACCATTATCATAAATGGAATATAACATTTTTATTTAAATTAATTTTGATTATACCTTTTCAAGATATCAAGACCAATCACAATAAAATAATGACAAATTAATCTTTATATCAACTACATTAAAAGTAATAAAAAAAAGTAATTAATCTATTAGCATAATTATATTTTTCTTAATATATACTATTGTTCTATACTTTAATTTTTTAAAAAAATCGTATATATTTGATATTTTTATCTATATAACATAGTTTGTGTCCATTATTTAAAAAAGAATAAAGGTTCTTTATGTTGATATTTGTGTAATGATATATTTAATTTGAATGTTTAAACTTTTCTTTAGATCTGTATCTAAATTCTGTATCTAAATTCCTCAATAAAAGCTCAACCCTCAAAATTGGCCAATCTTGAAAATGTTTTTTTAAAACAATAAAATAGAGATGACTCGAATGACAATATGAAATATGATAATTAAAATATTTTGGATGGATTATACTTGAACAATACTATCTAAATGTCTACTCAACTCACTATGAACAATTATCACTACTTCAACAAATATAACCATATTTTTTAGACACTACATTAAAGATTTTATGTTAATTAAAGATAACAACATAATAGTGTGCCAATGTCCCAAATTTCCAAGAAAAGGGAAACCTCCATGATGTCATCAATGAATAGGTGCTTCCAAAACTCTTTCAGCACAATAACAAAATGAGGTGTCAATGTCCCAGTCTACCAAGAAATGGGCATTAAAGCTTTGATTTGTCTAGATGTTTAAGTTGAACTCTCCAAAATGTGTTACCTAAGTGAAAGACATACCAAAAGGGAAAATAGAATCCCCTAAGGAATTAGAAGAGTTCGATTTTCATGTTATGTTAGTGTCTAAAATTTTTGTGTGTTTACAATTGTTTAATTAATTGTTGTAGCTCAGAAATTTGCTGTTAGAGGAGAGTCATCTCTTCCTCTTGTTGCTTTTGTTGTTGCTCACTCTATTCCTTCCATTGTTGTAGTTCTCTACAAATTCATTAATATCCAAGTATTATCTAGTGTTCCATGATTCGTTCCTGATGATCCTCTTAATTCGACCATTGTCTCTCAAATCAGTAGAGTCCATAGGAAAAAGTTTTCTACGGTTTCACATTGGGTGCCAAATGTACTTGTAGATGAATGTTGATAAATAATCTTCAAATGGAAGTCCTTGGTCATTGGAATTATAAGTGGTGGTTATACTGTAAAAGGAACCTTGATGTTAAAGTTAGCAAGTAATCAAAGTGTTTAGGTGTTGTATATAAAAATTATTTACCTTATGAAGGTAAAATGTAAGTATTTATAGATGAAAAGATATTAATATTAAGGATTTAGTCATTTAAGTGCATTTAAGTTCTTTTATTATTGTGTAACGATCGAACATTACTCTTTGTCATGATTGTGGAAAGAAGTCAAGTTAGGCTAAGTACTCCTCGAAGGCTGAATACCTTTAGACAAAGATGATCACTGCTTGAGTCATGTTGAAATGTTCTTCTAAGGTTAAGAGATGATAATATCTCAGTTTTAATACCTACCTAGTACAAAATCCAATTTAAAAAACCAGTGCAATTTAATTTATTTATTTTTTATATAGTTTGATTATTTTCAAACAGGATAGTTTAATTTTAAATTTGAATTGGTTAATTTGATTTTTATGCACACCCTTATATAGTTGGCATGACTCACTTACCAAAAGATGTCTTTATCCATTCATCCATTATTCCAAACATGCAACCAATGTACAACTCGTAAAAAGTGGTTGAAGAAGTATTACGAGTTCCTACCTTGTTACCATGGAGAGAAGACAAGGATCTTTCTCAACTAGGGGCAAATGTTACTCCGCTTGGCCCACCCTAATGACCGTACCAAGTTCTTAAAATTGATTTTACCCAAGTTTTTATTTTTTTTATTTTTTTATAAAATTGTTCTTATTAGAGTAGGTAAAAATTTAATATTTATGAGTTAAATAGAACGTTTTACTTTCATAAAATGTCATGTTACTTTTATTTTCTTATTTAATACAATAAAAATCAATAATTCTCAAGTAACACATTGAGAAAAATTTATAATCAACTAAAATTATTTTAATCATTTTTAAGAATCATATTTTTTAAGATTTATAATTTACAAAAATTATAATTCTCATGCATGAATTATTTTTTTTTCTACCAAGCGTCCCAAAGTCTCAAGTGAAGGTATTTGTGTGTCATGGTAGTAATTATCCTCGTACAACACATGCAAACGAAGTTGTGACCACTCCTACTTATCATGTTAAGGAATACAAACAACTAATCACTCAAATATAAAGTTATTGAGTACATATGGAATAGTGTCAGTATCATGCATGAGTACT